GAGAGAGGAAACAAAAAGTAACAAAATGGAAGCCTTTGATTTGATTCAAAACATGTTACTTCTGAATAAACTTAAAAGGTCATAAGCATTTAAAAGTTCTAATGGGGGTGGCTTAAGAGGAATCTTTCCAATGGTGAACTCCTTTGCTTCAAACTGTTGCCACTCTTCAGCTGATAATTCGCTCTTGGGTGTAAATAACTTCTCTGAGGCGGTGGTGCTGGTGACTGCAGCAGACGCTGAGGTGACGTGATGTCCAGAGGCACTGGCAGTCTGTCCAAACAAAGCACCACTTGAAGGTGAGGCAGAAGTGGCTGTGGCTGCATTAAAGGCTCCGAAGGCTGGGAGCGGAGTGGTGGTGCTGGAAGAGTTCACAGCAGCAGCACTGCCAAAGCCCGAAAACCCAGAAGTCCCAAAGCCACCAGCTGTTGCAGCTGTTTTAAAGGAGAAGGAGGCTGCAGATGGAGCTGCTGGGCTGCCAAACCCAGCAGGCTGGGGTGCACTGGGAGAGGATGTCACCCCAAACGCAGGAGCACTACCGGCAGCAGAAGAGACCCCAGCAGCAGGGCTGGTTCCAGACGATGAGGAACTGATAAGGCTGGAACTGGCTTTAAAGGAGAAACTGCTGGCACTGGTACTGCTGCTGCTCACAGGAAAGCCTGCAAGTACAGAATTGATAAAAAATATTACAATGGGTACCCCAGTAATATTAATATTAAACCACTGCTGCATTTCAAAAAATGCAGCAGCAGAGAAACTCCAGAAAACATTTGTATCTGCTGGTTCTTAGGGCAGGAACTTACTTGAGAGCCCAAAGCTTGATGTTTGCTGTCCTCCCAGTCCAAAGGCAGACGATGGTTGGGTGTCCGTGTTCTTGAAAGCAGAGAGCTGAAAAAATTCCAAAGATGTAAGTGAACACTAGATTCCAAAACAGGGAACTGTCTTTCAGTAAATACTTGAAGCAAAAATAGAGCTGCCCAGTCTGACATGGATCACTGTCATCACAATCACATGCTCTTGCAGTTATGAACAAAATGCTTTCAGTCTCTACACACTCTTTTCTGGAAAAGCACTCCAGAAATGCGAATCTGTTAAAATCTATAGATTTCTTCCTGTCAGTCAATGACTTGATCACCTCTTGCTGCTCTCGTTCTCATCTCTTATTGTTTCATCTTGTGCTTTGTGACTCTATCTAGGGCACTGCTTTGACTCACTCTCTTCTCTCTCCTTAGCGCATCCAGTTTGCTGCCCTAAGCTCTGGCCCCTTTCATGTGGTTTGCAATGAAAATATGTCAAAGCTGGGATCCAGCTGCTGCCTTGCTAACATGGAATTGTCCTGATTGGCTCTTTTCCTCAGTGAACTAAAGGGGTCTATAATACCTGCCTGCAATTCACTGATCTCAGGATTCGAGAGTATATACCCAGGTGATGCATCACAATTAGCTATATCTCAGAAGCCTTTTGTAACTGCAATTAACATCAGCGTAAATTAATTCATTCAAAGGTGACAAGAGGAACATTTTGCCTTTCCTCAACACTTACCAAATTGCTTTTGTAGATGCATTTAAAGCTTTCAACTGAAGCAGACGATTTTTCCATTGTACAACTAACAGTATTTATCTAAAAAGGGGGAAAAGAAAAGCATGTCTTTATTACTGAAGACTTAAAAACAAAAGAGTGATCTGACAACTGAACTGAAAAAGGATATCCAGAATTAAAAAAGAAACTTCATTAAGCCGAGAAAACCGGTTTTTGCTTTCCTGAAACTTCAAGGCAAGAAGCTGAGACTTTTGTTATTAACAGAGAATTCCTCTAAATGCTCCTACTATTGCCCTTAAGTCAACTTTGACTTTATATAAGGAGTAAGATCAGATGGGACAATTTGAGCAAGGGATCTCAGGCAGAAAGAGGACATTATGGCAGAGCATACAGACCAGCAGCTGTTTCAGTACTCTATTTGGTATACCAGAATTGAAGGATATTTTGGCATTCTGATAATCTAGAGTTGGGAGCTAAGTGACTCAAGAGTTGGCAACCTGAAGAACAGTAACAAGTCCTATCTCATGGTGTCCACACCAGTCAGCATTTTTAAAATTCTTACATAATTCCCAATGATATTCTTTGCTCTGCAGTTGTAATACTCCAGATGCAGCTCTTCTGGCAAGACATTCAAAAAGCCTGCAAGGACAGGAGCAGTCAAAACCTCCAAGAAAACAGATTTATACTTATAATCGCCCTCCATATTTATGAAGAAATGGTCCTTTGTTACATGGTCTGTTACATAGAGACACATAAGGGATTCATTATCAAATTTCACAGGTGTGAACGCCCAAAATGAACTGGCAAACCACCACCCTCCTTCAAACAGAAGCGACTGCAGCCGTGTTCCTGCCGTGCCATCACTGCAGCCCTCGGCTCGCCGTCGTGTCCTTCACCTTCCCGGAGCTCCCAAACACCCAGAGCCGGTGTGAACCGAAACAACTTTCACCAGCTACAACAGGCAGCTGCCGGACACCTGCTCGCTGCTCCTGGCAGGGAAGTTTCCCGAGCCGCTTTCCCATGGCCTCGTGGCATATCCCGCAGTCCCTTCGCCAGAGCCCAACCCCGCGAGTGCCGAACCGGAGGCTGCTGCCGACAGCCCCGGCCGGCTCCGGAGCTCCCGCCGGCAGCGGCCGCTCGGAGCGCCCGAGGCGGGCACCGGGGCAGGGCTGGGGGCGGCCTCCAGCCCCCCCGTCCTGCCCGCCCCCACCTCGCCCCGCCGCGCTCGGGTACCCGGGGACGGCGGTGCGGTGCCCGGAGCGCGGGTGCTCGTTCCCGAACCCGTAGCCGAGGCGGCAGCAGCCCCGCAGGAGCCGAAGAACGAGCGTGGCCGCCCCGCGCCGCCGGCGGTGAGGTGCTGAGGGCCGCTGGGGACCAAGGAATATACAACCCGTAGAACAACGGGGCTCCGCAAGTTTAAAAGCGGATAAAACCAGACAAAAGAGCCTGTCCAGCCTAAAAAGGGCACAGTTCTCGCCAGGATTCTCGAGGAGTGGAGGCACCAGGGACATGTTTGTTTCGTGGCTATGAGAAGGGAAAGGCAAGGGGGAGCAGAAAAAAAAGTCACACAGCCTTCACTTACTGCTGAATAAAGAACGGAGTTGCAGGAACCACTATTGAGCCCATGAGCGCATCTACTCCTGTCTGTACAGGCAGAGTTGTCAGGGTGAGGGAGAAAACCAGGAGGAAGCCTACAAAGAAGCACTGACTTTGAAAACCAGGAGTTAGACTACCTAGGAGAATTTGGAGGACCTTCGAAATTAAAACAGACTAAACATCCACAGCACCAGTGAGGTACAAGGTACAGGTAGGCAAGCACCAACTTTTGAGGTTAACTCAATAGTCTCATAGAAACAGACCTGAAAAAATTAGCAAGTTAGAAGAGAGGTGACAAAATTACAATGAAACTATTAATGAACTAGCATGGGAGCAGGATAGACATCAGACAGACATCATTTGTATAGTTCTCCAGAACTGAGAAGAGGCACACAGTGTTGATGACACCGAAAGCTTGACAGGCTGGACTTCTATGCTGGACGAAGAAATTACCATCGTGGTGGCTGGGAGCATTTACAGAGCTCTGTGCTTCTAGACTAGAGATGAATAACCATGCGCAACTTCTGAAGACTTCTGTAAAGTATCTTTAATGACTCTGTTCATGCCATTTTAAAAACAGTCACTTTCAAGAAGAAAATCAATATATCTGTATATTGTATTTGCTTTTCCCATTCCTCTTCCCATCTTTGCTAAAAGTTTGGCATCCACAGTATGTACAGTCTGATGCCTGGGAAGAGAGACTGAAAATTCACTCCAAGTTTCCAACTTGTTAATTATAGTGCACAATTCTTGTCGACTTCACCCTTTGACTTCCCTTACCTCAGTGTAATAAAAAAAACAAACGAATCCAAGTCTTTCTGTGAAAGCTCCCCAAAATGCCAGAGACCATCAAAATGTTTCTCTAATCTCTATATATGGCCTCTCTAACTTTAAAAAATTGATAAGCAGTCATGCAAATGATGGAAGAAACTCATTGGAAGAGGGCAGCTATCACGATCTAGAGAGTTGTAGAAATATTGGGAATCTTTATTAGACAGCAGTCCTTGGTCTTTCCTGAGAAAATATCTTCATTGCATCCTGGTAAGATTTCTGCAGGTATGTACGAATCTTTCTCATGACCCAAGCTATACCTACTCACCATTACCAAATGAAGTATCTGCAACTGACCTTGGTAAAGTGTCATTTAACCAGAAATCTTTTCTTCACCAAATGCTTTAGAAGAGTTCTAAGTATTTTTAATTTGGTCTATGTTTGAGAAGGCCACACCCACAGCCCTTTTAAAGGAAGATGCCATGTGATGTTACCTAGGTAAGTGGATTCTCAAAACACATCCCCATCTCTTAAAACAGACAAGAAAATGGGCATGACAAAATCCACATTACACAATATGCTGTATATACAAATTGAAAGACTGCATCTCATTTTTTTCTGTTATTAAATTTAACGAGATTCAGTAAAATATGGAAGCAAAGCACCAATAGCCATCTTTCCCCAAGTCCTTGAAGAATGTCTCAGCATCTCCTACAGGTCTTCAGATCTCTAATGTTTCTTCATTTGCCCCGCAAGTGTCTACAACACAGATTAAACAACTCGTCACGGGGAAAGCACGGACTTTGGAGTTGGCTATCCACTTGTCTGTTTCAGTGTTATATTCAAGAATGTGCCCTAAGCGACCAACACCCTGAAAACCAGCCAGGACATAGACTATAGATCCCACTGCAGCACACTTCACTGTTACACCTTTCCATGGCATTGGAGACACCATCTTCCATTCATTCATCTTGATATCGTAATATTCTACATTATCAAGGCCACCTACAAAACAATGAAATAGATAATTGCTTATTACATTATACTGTATGGACTGAACTAGAGCATGCAAATATTCCATGAAACTGAAGTCTTTATTTTTAAGGTTTTAAAAACCCTACAGTAAAAAAAACAAACCTGAAAAAACACCCTAGGTTTCTAAACTAGCAGTTTACCCTTGTATAAATACAGAGAAAAGTAAAAAGGAGATTGAAAGTAAGATGTGTTGTAACAAATTCACATTAGACGCTTTCTAGAGAATCCAACGTGTTACTACTTCATGAACAGAAGAACTAATGATGCTGAATTTGTGATGGATTTATGGCTAGTGACTAAAACTTAGGAATCTATCTGAAACTTCCCTATAGTTAGGGCATTTTATTCTAGAGGACTGACAGATACTTCTACCAGAATTGGCCATTTACTGATAGAGGATGTCTCTCTTCATGATGCTAGTAAAATCACTGAAGTGTAAAAGCCTTTGATAAGGGCCAAAGAAACCAAGAGTTATTAGAGAAGAGTAGATTTTATGACTAAGATTCGCTTCTTCAAGAAATATGTTAGTAATTACACCTTACAATAGCCATAAACATTCTGTTATCCCTGTTTAGCAACTCTGAGTCAGTTTTCACTTCCAGTCCCAAATTACTAGATCTGAGAGATTAAGAAACATTTCTATCATGTTAAGAGGTATGAGTCTTTCACCCCATACATAACTCTTCCTCATTCTATTCCAGTAAGAACAGTCATTAACACTTCTAAAAGGAGCATTCAGCTAACATTGTACAAGATGGCAGCTCCGGCAGTTACAGATTGATAAAATGTTTGGGCAATAAATGCATCTACCGTTTTTGCATTAGGAATCAATCACGACGGAATAGTTTTAGTAGCCAATTAAAAATCAAGCTGTATTCTAAAATAGCATTCATCTGATATCAAGTATACCAGTTACCATAAATAGTGACTTTAAAACCTCATAAATTAGAATTTTCCATTTTGAAAAGCACTTTAGAAACCCTCGGTAATTAAAATTCAATTATTCTGGTAAATAAACTATTATTCTTCTAGTTTTAAAGACAAGGAAACAGGCAGATCATAAATGACCTGCCCACGACAGTAAGTCTTATTTCAAAGCTGGGCACTCCAAAGAGGTCTCACATTTTCACCACTTTATAATATCTGACTATCTTTAAGTCTTTGGACTGAAGTTCCTAAAATAGTGGCTATACCTTTACCTGTCTCTCAAAAGAATGCTAAAATATCTCAAAACACATCATAAATAACTAAAAAAAAAAAACCAAATTAATTCTCTTTTCTTAGATGCCTGGTTTAGCCATATTAACTACTTCAGAACTGGGCTACAGTAGAGGTACATATCTGAACTTGACGGTACTCTTATTAGTACAAGAATTTAAAAAATAAGATACAGTGAAGTGGGGAGGTGAAAAGAGGAAGGCAAGACTAAAGTGGCAACAACAGGATGTTTGATGGTGTTGCTCAGAGTTTTTCAGTTGAAAAGAGCAGAATTCATTGCAAAATAGACCAGAGCAGAATTCATTGCTGTGTGACCAGCTAGAGAATTAATAGAATTCAAGTACCTAAACCATTTTGTCCACCCACAGCAAATATTTTGTCCTTTACAAACACCAGCCCATGGTTCTTCCTGGCTTCAATCATTGGACACAGTTCAGTCCACCTGGGGAAAAAGAAACCCAAACACAAGAGGAAGAGTCACCATCTAGTTCATAGAAATTAAGTATAAAATATGTAAATGAAACCTATCGTTAAGAAAATGAAACAGGGATGAAAGCTGCTTAAGAAAAACTGCCTTTCAAGTAAAGCTACAAATAAGTGATTCCTCACTGCTGACTCAGGGAAATTCCTTACCATATACATTTTTTCCTTTAGTCATCTATACTTGAGTCATTTACAGAGCTAGCAAAGACCCAAATGACTAAAAATAACATTAATACAATTAATACAATACTTACGTTTCGGTGGCTGGATCATAAACTTCACAGGAGTTTAGGACTCTTCCAGAAACATTGTTTCCCAAGCTTCCTCCGCACACATAAATGAGACCGTTCGCCTCTACCATTCCATGGCTGCATCGCTGAGTCAGCATGCTGGGCTTCGTGTGCCAGCTTTCTGTTCTCGTGTCATAGCATTCAAATAAATACAGTGCAGAATTTCCTTGAAAAAACAGAAACCCACCAAAGTGGCATTAATTTTTATGGTTGTCTTTCAAGGGAAGAGTCTAACAGCAATTATCAGACTGAGACTTGGTTTCTTAGTTGAAAAGGGAAAGCTGCTTTCCCACCTCCAAAAGCAGAGCTGACCAACTTGAAATTTGGGACTATTCAAAAGCACATACTTATAGTTTCTTTCACTCATTTATTCCAGTAAGTAAGTTGATTAAATTGCTATTTTTGTTTAAAAACAACAAGAAAAAAAATAAAGTTTGGGTTTTTTTGAGGGGAATAAATGCTGAACAGATATATATATATATATATATAGATTACTGATCCCCTGTCATCAGCTCATGCTACTCTTACTACTTGGAAATATATTGAACTTTCAGATGTAAAGATGTAACCATCTTTGTAAACTTACTACAAGTTCATGAGTTTTTTCTGTATGCAATGTGATTTGCCCAATTCCCAGAATACTCATTGCCTTTGGAATTTTGATAGCTTGATTATGTCA